CCTCCACAGAGGTAGCCCACCTTCCTGGTCCCCACAGAAATGACGTGAAAGTACCCCGTCTTCCAGAGGGACGACTCTGCACTGCCTTGCCCAGTTCTTCAGAGCAGGAGGAGCATGGGGACCTCAGATGTCAGCCGCTTTGTCTGCACTGATGAACTGGCGCACACCTATGCCTGCTTGTGTGCACTCCTTCTGATGTCCCCTTGTCAGTTCTGCCACCACCTCACTAAAGCAGCCCCCTCTCTCCTCTATCTTGTACTTCTATGAAGTAAGCAAAAGAGGCAAGTCCGACTCCTGTGCTCCCCTGGTTGGGAGGGCTCAGGTCAGCAACTGGGGAAGACCAGCCAGGGAGGACTGGCCCAGCGATACCTTCCTCCTCAACTCTTCTATGCCTCACAACTCAGCTCTCTAGGGCTGACCAGTAGGCCTGGCAACCCAGTAAGAAAGTGGGGGCACCCCTGAAGCTCTCCTAAGCAAGGACCCTGAAGATATCTGCTCACAAAAGGAGAAATCAATTGTCCAGCAATTGCTCTGCCCAAGTTGCCTGTAGGATCCTAGGGCACCAGAATCTTCCAGACATCTTTCTGGCCACCACCAAGACCAGCCTTATGATCTAGGATCCTCCCTGCTGCGATATTTGAGAAGCTTTCTTCCTGCCAGCATTGGGCCAGGTGCCCTGGACACTGCTGGCCAAGAACAGGCTTCAAAAGGCTAAGTGGAAGGTGAACATCTTCAAAGGGGTCTCAGACTTCCCAGAAAGCTCTGGCACACAGCCCTAACCTCAGGTCAGTGCTTCCTGCAAATGAACTTGTGATGGCTCCATGAGGGCAGGGACTTGTCTGTCTGGCTCGCTGCTGTATCCCTGACAACCCTTAGTACGGGGCTGGAATACAGGCGGTACTCTCAATGCTGACTTGTTGAATTCACTTATAATGACCTCCAGCAAGGAAGGAATGAAAGCACAGTGGAAAGAGTCTGGGTTTGGGAGTCAGACAGAGCTGGTTTTGAAAGCATCCAGCTATACCATTTATACTGGTCATGCACAAGCCACTTTATCCCTTTTAGACTCAGCTTCCTCATCTGTAAAGTGGGAATCACAATACCCACCTCAAAATGTTGTTGTGAGCATGAGACGGAAGTTTTGTGTAAAGCCTTTAACCCAGCTATTGGCAGAGAGCACTTCTTTATTTTCACTCAGAGACACTGATTAACTCCCGCTGTATGCCAGACACTGTTCAAGCGTGGTACGGGGATCCCAAACCACGAGTTCATTGAATTCTTATAACAATCCTGTGAAGGAAGATCTATCTAAATCTCTCTTGCAGTTGAAGAAATGGAGGTACAGAGAGGAAAAGCAACTTGCCCGGAGTCTGATGTCTAGAAGAGGTAGGGCCAGGCTTCATATCTATTCCAAAGTTCAAAATTTAAGGTGCTACACTGCGTGTCTCTGAGGCAAGCAGCCAGTGAATGTTAGCTCCGGTCCCTAACTTGATTATGAGAGATATTTGACCACACTGCCTGACTAGTGTTTTCAAGTGCAATAGAAAACACATCCAGACATTCCCATGATTCACTGTTTTGTTCTGTCTTGTTTTAAGCTGTGACCTGCTCCTGTGAAATTCAATTCCAGACAACTCTGCTGATCAAGAACATCTCTGCTATCTTGTCCTCCTGCTATCTACTCCACAGCTATCTACCAGAGAAAGAGACACACAGCGATGTAAAAATACGAAAAAGAAAGGAAAAAGAAAACAGAGAAGAGAGGGAGTGAGCTTGCAACCTCTTAAGAACAGTCAAAGAAGTCTCACCCTCCTTCTAATAATCCCTAAGAACAACTGCCTACCCATAGGGTACCGCCAGCAGAAATAATCTGGCCACGTGGAGACCAGCCACATAAAGGCTCGGCCTCTCCACCGACCCAGGTAGCATAGGGAAAATTAAGCCATCTTTTCTAATGGCCCAAACCTCGAAGTAAAGAGAGATTTCCATTTTCCCCCTCTATAAGATTGCATTTGCCCCACTGTCAACCACGGAGGAGACTTCATTACCAAAATAAATCAGCACTGCACTTGACCTTGCTTCTCCAAAGGCTCAGGATTAGTGACATCACAATACTCTACAGATGCTCAGAAATACCGGAATAACCCCCTCAAGTCAAAAACACTTGGTATCTCACTAGAAGGCATTAAATTATTTTGATTTTACTCCATGGAATCCAAAATGCTTTCAATGTTTTCATTTCCAAAATGCTTAAGAGAAAAAGCATGCTCTTAGGACCTTCACAAACCTCGACTCCTGGTCTGGTTTGTGTCCTGATTCACGTGTGGTAAGATGGGGAACAGGCTGGAAGCCAAGGAACAGTAGCTCTGGTCCCACACTGCTCACATGACTCAATTCCCGAGTGGCTGGGGCCTCACCGTGGAGGCTCCCAAATCAACCTTCTCTCGCCCTCAAAGTTACAGGCAGGTCCCATGCAGCTCTCAGGCACCTGGGCTAGCTTCTCTGAAGGGATCCAGTCTCCATTTCCCATAGCCCTGATAACCACGTTTCCCTTCCAAAGCAGCAGTACAAGCAAAGCTCCTCCACGCTGGCCAAAGAGAGGGAGTTGAAGGGAATGTTTTCTCTCCAAGGCAGTGGCCTAGACATGGGGATGGCTTCAGGGCCGCTGCAGCAAATCCATCTCTTGCACTCCTAACCAGGACACATGACCTTGCAGTTGTAATTCCTAGTGCTACTCGCTCAAAATGACTGCCCAATTTTAAATCAGGTTGGTCACCAACACAGTCAATAAATGTAACGTGGATTTCAGGAAAAAAAGAATCTATGCGTCAAGAACACACGCTCTCAGGAAGCACTCAGAATCTGATTACTTTCAGTATTAAAGACATGCTCCACAACCAGCACCACATTTGTCAACAGACTGATCACTCTCACTGAAGTACAAGTCACAAAATCCAGCATCATACAATATATACGCCCCAAGGACCACGGATATCATCTACTTTACCCTCGTTTTGTACAGGGGAGAAAACTCAGACACACACCAAGGGTAGGATTGTTCAAGTTCACTGTGGGTAGATGGCTCAAATCCAAAGCTTCTCACAATTCTTCTTCCTAGTCTGCTGCCTTTGACCCCCAAATACCAACAAGAATTCTTTCACAAATTATTTTCACAAAAAAAATTAGTTCAATATACCATGGCTGCCACCTAAAAAGTAAAATCAATGGAAAAAAACAAAACAAAACTGGAGTTGAAAAGAATAACTCCGGCTTTGAATTATGTTCTTATTCCTAGCCCAAAAACCTGCTTCCTAAAGGGACAGCTCCTTTCCCATATTCCCAGTGAGAAATGAAAGGCAGTAGTTCTTCCCACCAGCGTGTCCAACACTAGGCCAGTATTTTAGATTAAAACAATCTCTGGGTAAACAAATGGGTGTTGGTACAAGGTAGAATGGCCCGAAGCCACCTTCACTACTCCTAATAAAATCAGCTTCAAAGAAGGCTCAAAGATTAAAGTGCTTTTCTCTGCCTTTAAAATGGGGAAGTTGTATTTTTAGGTATGAAAACAAGACACTGAAAGCAAATAGCCAGGCTGAGGAAGGGTAGCCCAGGAAAGAAACAAGCACACAGAAAATCGAAGGCCCTGAAACTTTCTACCCACAGCAGCTGAGATGTTTCATCTTGAGTCCATTTCACCAGACATGAAGAAGCTTCTTTGGCTACGAAGGATCACATGAGAACATAAAACAAATACTGAAGGTTTACGTTCCCTTTCTCTCCTGTGTGTGTGACACTGACTGGCCAAGGGAGAGAGACTCTAATGCTGCAGAAAGCAAAATTTTCCTTGTTTCCATTACATCATCCAAATTGGAGAGGGGTAGGGCAGGGGGGGGGGGGGCACAGCTGGTGGCAGCTGCACCACCATCTGCTTTCTCCTCAGCAGTGGGTGCTAGTTTGAGCTGCAGCCTCCTACGGCTCCTGATAGAGGAGGTGTGGTATTAAAGGTACAACACCCTATTATGGAAAAGCTTTCAAATTATTTAGAAATAAATCACTCCCATGATAAGTTAACAACCTCCGCTAGGCTGCTGAGCCGGTTCTCTTTGAATTTAGGTTATTTGTTTGCATCTCTTTAGACTCAGCCACAGTGCAAACTGTCAACTTAACGTGCCCAATTAGACAAGCAGAATGTATATGCAACCACCTGCCATCTGCTTCCCAAAAGGTAAGCAGGCAGAAAGTACAGGTCAGCAGCTGGAAGCCTTTACAGCAGGTGCAGGGAAGGTCCAAACCCAGTGTGCAAGCCCCAGACTAGTGGATGGGTGCTTGCTGCCACCTTTGGCATCCCCAGCCATCTGGTCAACTGGTCTCATCCTCTTGGGTGCTCTTGGAGTTTTGAATGCACTGTGAGGGGTCCCCATGTGGAAAGGGAGACTGGTCAGAGTAGCCTGGGGGTCAGTGCCTTGTCTGGCCATTCAACTGCAAATTGGCAACAACGCAGCAAACTGGTGGTTCAAAGGTCTGATCAAGTCCCTGGGCATGTTTTATATGGCCTATACAGGGTTGTGTTTAAAAAAATGTTGGCTTTTAAAAATGAGTACATTTCATATATAAACATCTATCTTGCTAGATTTGGCAGCACGAGGCCCCATTTCTACGGAGCTTCAGTCAGCACTTCCTTTTGATGGGGCGTGCATTCAGAAGAATTAGTCCCCACGTTTGGTGTCTGCATATGCCACTGCAACTACCTCTGTTCCTATCTGGTCCTCGAGAGCTTTTGATATGAAGAAGAAGAAGAAACTCCAGGGAATGATTTCCCAGTGGTCCTTTACTGACTCTCCTCTTCAGTTGAGATTCAGTCCCTTGGATGGCCAACTAAAATTGTACAAAGATCATTCAACCCAATACAAGGAATGGATCTCAGTAGAAGGCTAGCTACGTTGACCCCTTACCACAAAAGCAGGTTGCAGCATTTCAAAGGAGCATTTCAAATCACTTACCATACATCTTGCCTTCATCTGATAAGATGATTTTCCTCCTCCCACATGGTGGATAGATAGCCAAGGCTTCCTGAAAGCTCTGCTCAATGTCGGGGCTCCAGACCCCTTCTGCATCATTGTCAATGGGCTTATCTGCAGAGTCACTCATCCTTTCCATGTTTTCGGCAGGGCTCTCACTGCCGCTCCAGCTGCTGGGCTCAATTTTGGCGGTTGGATTTTCCAAGCCGAAGCCTGGAGCCTTTTCAAGAAAATAAACCTAAGAGAGAAATCAAAAGATAGTATAAGGACACAGTAACCATCAACATACTGCTCTCGCTGGTTCTACTGCAGACTTTTCAGTCACCAGCTTTGCTTGGAGAATAACTCCTAGGAGAGAATATGGAATTTTGAGATCCAAGTGTCTTTTGTTCCTATGTATCACGTTAGGAACAGAAAGAAAACAGCAGGCAGAAGCTGGATAATCTTCACAGATGAGAGGAAATTTTCATCTGAGAACAGTACTCACTCTGAATTGCAAGTTCACAATGAATCATGCAAAATTTGCTAAGTACCTACTATCTACCAGGAGCACTTTGCTCGATGATAATCAAATCTCCAGAGCAGAACAAGTTGTTTAAAAGAAAATAAAGTAAAACAAAAGGCGTCTACCTCACTGTGGCAATTAGCACGATAACTCTAAAATGTCAAACCATCCGAGAATTTGTCACTGGGATCACCAAGAAGCAAGATGGCGGCAGAATGGCAGACAGAAGGAGGGAGATTATTTTATCACAAATACTCATTCTACAAACAGCAATGCCAGCAGACCTGGACCTGCTATTCTATAGCATTTATCCGCAGGGCTTTTTACACTGTACAAGTCAGGTCACTTTGCCACTCTCAGCTTCTAGATTGTAACCCTGAAGCTGGAACCAAGTTGTCCCCAATCCCTTCCTTCCCTGCAACAACTGCAAGCAGCCAGCACATCTGAAGAAATGTTTCACACCCACATGAGGCACTTCATCTGGTAGCCTCCTTGGAATTCCTGATCACAGGAAAACTGTGGGGGAGGCTTTCGTTTATTTTTCTGTAGCACTAAAGATTACAGAACCAAAAGAAATCTTTCTCAAAGATTTATTCTCCTTAAATTATGCATGTAACCTATGGTCATTCCAAACAAATGTCAAAGTGGCACAAACACCAATGTGAAAATGATCTAATCCAGTACCCCTTGCTGTCTGCACACTAACATATCAATATGCCTTTGTTGAAAAGGCATCAGATCATTTATTCAAAGCCTTCCCCAAAAGGGGGATAAGAATTCCTCCTAGGGATTGACTGGAAGAGGGGAGGCGCAGGGCCTGAGTAGGGAGAGCTTAGTGCGACCACCATTCCACCCCCTTCCGCCGCCTCAAGTCCATGCAACATTACAACAAAGGCGGCCAGGAGGGAAGCAGATGCGGGCAGCCCTACTAGGTACCAGGCACTGCTCTGTATCCCAGGGCAGTCACCTCTGAGAGCCAGCACCTCTGAGAACCAGCCCTTTCCTTCTCTCTCCCAACTGAACCCTTTTCCCCTGCCTTCCCCCGCTGTGTATATCTACAGATCCCAGGTGCAGAAAGTCTGAGGCACAGGAACATTACACAATAAATGGTATAACCAACGGGTGCTTTTGGCTCCGTATCCTGACAGCTCTTTAGATTTGGCAGCACCTGGATAAAGGAAACCCTCAGGTTATCTGCCTTTGAACGCTGCCACTGATCCATCTTTCAAAGAACTTGTCAGCAAAATATTTACTACTTCTTACCAACACATGTACACTGACACAGGACTTTAAAAACTGCCAAATGTTAAAGATATAAATTATGCCACAAGAAAGGGTTTTGTGACTGACCCCCAGATGAACTCTACAATGCCTGCAGTGTGGGCCTTTGAATTCTCAAATTATTACATTTTTTTTCTTGGTTGGGATCTAAGAGTCTTATAAAATCCAAGCTGAACTGCACGCTACCCTAGAGTCTAGCTCCAAAGAGGTTTATTAGAGAAATTATAAGAATATGTGTGAACTCTTGGAGCGGTGACTAGCCGTTCACCTTCTCCCTCTCCACCTTACCCCAAAACTAAACAAAACAAGACGAACAAAACCAGACACATACAAAAACACAGGCCAATTCCTCAGCTCCAGGCAGCTCACAGCAGTAAGACTTCACTCCAGAGAGCCACATTTTAAGATTAAACTGTGTCCAGCGCTCAACCACTATGGTAGAGGGATGGAATCCAGGGGACCAGGGGAACTTTGACTAAAAAAAAACATTACCATATAATTGAAAGCCTCAGAGTCTCCAGACCAAAACACAACAACCCTAATTCAATAGCTGAGGTCCCCTCTGACACATCTCATTAACTGGTCAGTCTATGCGTGAACATCACCAATAACAATAACAAAGAACCCACTACCTTCCCAGTATCACCTCCTTTGTACTAACATGTTGAAATTCTTCCATCTATTAGGCTAAAACCCATCTCCTGGTTAACTTCTAATCATTCAGCCTTGAGGTCTATCCATGCCTTGGGGAAGCAAATCTCCCCGAAGACACCCATTTAGGTATGACCAGAGCAGCCCCCAGTCTCCTGACCATGTTTCCAGACTAGACACAATTCACATCATCCCTCTTGCCCAGCCCAGTTTGTCACAACCTTCAATAAATGACACTCAGAGGTGGACTTAGGATCCATAAAACTTCTAAGCTCCCACCCTCCAAGTGCTGTTCCTGAATCCCGACTCTTGATCAATTGGGTTAGGAGCTAAAATCAGGAATTTATATCTATTCTATTAAATTCCATTATTTTTAGCCTTGGCCAGTGGCTCAAAACTGGTAAGATCTTTCTGAATCATAACTGCCAAGCTTAATGTCCTCAGACACCAAACAACTTCTGAAGGTGTTACACACGGGGAGGGTGTTAGACCTGCTTTGTAGAAGTTCCAAAGAAGATTATGGCTCAACATAAGGAAAAATTTCCTGTTAGTTCAACAAGTGGTAGATGGCCTCATAAGACAGGCAGCAGAGTCTTGCAGACAACCCCTTCAAGTTACCTCTAAAGCTAAGGGTCACAACTCCTTGGTTGTTGGGGAATGCAGTATTAACTAGCATCAATTGATCCATCCACTTAGGAAGCATAGGCGCTGCTCTAAATGCTCACATGTTTTTATTCATTTATTGCAAAGGGAAGAAGAACTCCATGTCCAGGCTCTTGCATTTGGTGAACTGGAGCTCAGCAGGATGGAATTACCTACTCTGGACAAGGGCCAGGACACAGCCCCAGAAGCTACCAGATACATAATCCACAGACTTCTACAGGCCCTTGGTTTTACAACCCAATTGTAAGATGAGGCCTTGTATGGGCAGAGTTTCCAATCACAAGACTAGGACTGGCTGAGAAAAGCTCCCTGTACTGGATACCAAATTCCATCCCTCAGTTCCCTTCCAGCCCAGCTCAAAATCCACCTCATCCTGGAAACCATCCTTGTATCTAGTGGCTCTGAGAGAATCAGCCACACATTAGGAGCATCCTAAAAATGTGTGGAATTAGTTAACTACCACCCAATCTACCTGTGGCTTCTGAATGTACAATAACAAGCACCTGCTTATTACCAACAATAAGATCTAATCAAGTGATATACGCATAGAATACCTGTGCCTGCAGAGCTGATGTCCTCACCTCCTCACACACCCTTTGAGCAAGGGAGCCAACTTTCACTCACTTCAGTAAATGAAGAACACAGTATTGTGGGGCAGAGGGGGTGGAGGGGGCAGCGGGGGTGGGGTGTATGGTATTAAGATTCAAACTGATCTGGATTCCAAACCTGTCTCACCCATTAGCCACGCAGCCCAGACTAAATTAGGTAATCTCTAGAGACTCAGGTTTTAATTTATATAAAATGAAAATAATAAATTAAATGCAACCCCAGTGCAGAAAAATCGTTAAGTAGTGGAGGGACTCTACCCCATGGAGTTTCCATAAAGATTTAGTGAGATAATGAATGAAGGTGCTCTATCATCTGAAAAACCATGAACAGATGACGTTTTCAAGTCCATCATCTCTAGACAGTGGTATGGACCTTGTGATGCCCAAACACCTACTGATAATGGGATGGTAAAGAAATGAAGGAGCTTCCCTAATGGCTCCCTTTGGGAAATAAGTTTGAAGGATCCTCTTCCTTAAGGTCTTCAGATGCCTAAATGGAAAATTTAAATTGGTAACAAACGCCTGCACTTATAATGCACACAATCAATAGTTTTCATATTCTTCTGGGAAGTTTCGTTGAGGGGAATAACCCTAAATCTAAACGAATGCCTAAAACAAAAGAGAGAAGGGAAAATGTTTTTGGTTGAAAATGTACTATATATCACGTAGCCCCCATGTGCCTCAGTTTCCATTATTAACACTTTTCTAAAACCTCCTTTTTTCCTGAAACTCTTCCCAGCCACACTGGAATAAACTCCAAAAAGAAATGTTACCAGTGACCCAAACATTCCTGCTAATAGCCACACTGCCTAAATGAATCATTCTTTCAGGATTACCCACTTACATTTCAAGACAGGTAACATAAGCACATTGGAATGACATCTTATATGATGAACATTATACATATATATGTGTTTGTGTGTGTGTGTGTGTGTGTGTGTGTATACATATATACATACATACACACACACATACATATATATATATAGTATTCAACCAGTACATATTTTGATTTAAAAGTCTAGGGGAAGAAGGAGGTTAGATGGTCAATGCAGGTGCTTCTGACACCAACTCTATCCAAGGGACGTATGCACAAGGGGTATGACACAGGACACAGGAATCGCTGCTCCCTTTATATTAATTCCTGTGGGTCTCTCATAATGTAAGCATCTCACCCACTTAGTGGTGATTTAAGAGCTCTTAAATAAAAGTATTAGTTTTAACTAACCCTCATGATTAGGGAAATGTCACTGAACGTGAGGATCTAAAAAAAAAATCCATAAAGCTTATTTTAGCCAATATCTTCATACTCTGTGAGGCAACAAGAAAAGAGGTGGACTGGAAGTTAGAACTCTGCCTCTACCCGAGTAACCCTGGACCACACAGTATCCGCCATGTGCCTCAGTTTCCACCGTTAACACTGAAGGAAACCAACTTCATCATTCATCGCCTGTGTTTCCAAAGACTACCTATAAGAGATCTTAGATTAAGTTGGTTTGTTATCACTCCCCCCATCCACATCCCAATGTA